TGGGAGATTTGTACAGGGTAAAAGGGATCTTGAAGAAGGAATGCTATCACTCCATTTTGCAACGCCATGCCATACCCTGTGGACGGCACTTGATTGCAGCCAATTTCCTTCTACAACAGGACAATGACCCAAAGCACAGCTCCAAACTATGCAATAACTATTTAGGGAAGAAGCGGTCAGCTGGTATTCTGTCTATAATGGAGTGGCCAGCACAGTCACCTGATCTCAACCCTATTGAGCTGTTGTGAGAGCAGCTTGACCATATGGTACGTAAGAAGTGCCCATCAAGCTAATCCAGTTTGTGGGAGGTGCTTCAGGAAGCATGGGGTGAAATCTCTTCAGATTACCTCAACAAATTGACATCTAGATGGCCAAAGGTCTGCAAGGCTGTAATTGCTGCAAATGGAGGATTCTTTGACGAAAGCAAAAGGACACAATTATTATTTATATAAAAAATCATTCTTTCTAACCTTGTCAATGACTACATTTCCTATGCATTTTGCTATATTTCCTATTCAAACTCATTTCATGTATGTTTTCATGGAAAACAAGGACATTCCTAAGTGACCCCAAACTTTTGAACAGTAGTGTATGTTAACATTTTATAGAGTCCTGGGGCTTTATGTATCAAGCGTCTCAGAGTAAGAGTGCTTAACTAGGATCAGGTCCCCCCTTTCCATGTAAAAAAATTATATATATCCTAAATCAGCACCAAGATGCAGTGCCAGCTCAGAGGACGGTATGATCTTTTAACACAAGATGGCGATGTTTGAACAGGGTGTTTTTTTTCTCTCCCCGCTGTGCCATGCTTCAAAGACAACTCCTCAAAATGTTGTGTCATAAAACAGCTGGTTAATTGCAAGAGGGTTGACTTACAACACTAATACATCTGGGTTTGGAGCTTCTTGTTGACTGTTATGGGGCTTTCAAATACTCCACTGTATAATTCTCTGTTCAAGGCCACTGGCAAGTCACAGTAATCTGTTTTTGCCTGGTCAGCTCAGTGCACTCACTGGTTGCCTCCCAAATAATGGCACCCTGATTCTCTATATAGTTCACTACATTGACCATAGGAGCCCTATGGGCCCTGGTTAAAAGTAGTGCAGGGAATAGGATGGCATTTGAGACACAACCACTGTCCCAGTGGGCCAGGTGCTTCAACAGACTGAACTCCCTGCTTTCTCGCTCATCCTTATCTTCATCTCCGTGACCTGAGACCACTCCACTTAGAGGTAGTTTTGAAGGAAGCCCATGCTCAGCATCTCTTCAGATCTCTATCTCCAACCCATTTCTCTCCTGAGATTGTTTATCAATAATGCCTCAAGCAACTCTTTCCTCCTTCATCCAGTAACTTTCTGCACTTTATGTGCAGTTTACCTAAAGTTGTAAAAGTCCAATCCTTATTTTGATGTGATCCTTGTCTTGATAAACAAGACATTGGTGGATGATTCACAGGAAGCCATGGAGAGAGACAGAGTCCAGATGGTTGGGTCAGCACAGCCCACTGTCTATAGAGAGAGAGAGAGAGAGAGAGAGAGAGAGAGAGAGACGGAGGGAGAGGACCAGAGAGACGAGAGAGAGCCTCTCTCTTCTCTCTCTTCTCTCTCTCGCTCTCTCTCTCTCTCTCTCTCTCTCTCTCGCTCACTCCTCTCTTATAGCAGAGAGAGAGAGAGCGAGAGAGAGCTCCCACTGTCCAACAACAGAGCAAGGCTCAGAGAGGCTGTGCGTGCGTGCATGTGTTTGTCATTTCAGTTACAATACTTATGCAATTAGCCAGCTACTGCAATTCTTTGAGCAATTGCACAGCAATAAACATCAAAATTCTTGTACCTCTTATGTTTTCTACCCTACATACCTCTCTGGTCGTATCACCAGCATTGCACACACAGATGTTCTTACACAATAACAATAGCACGCAAACATGGTAATTATGTCAAATTAGGGAAACCCAGGATTAATTCAAGCGGTAAAGAAAATAAGTGATGTTCAGATTTTCCTCAATGGGTTGTAGAGTGCCTGAGCCAGTTGGTAGGTAAACATCAGCACAGAGGATTCCCTGCTTATTGCTATGTTCAAACCACAAACAACTACCAGGTCATGGGATGCATTTGAATAGCTGGGGATACCCAGACACAAGGCTTCAGAATAGAATTGAATTGAATAGAATAAAATTGAATTTAAAAAAATTATAGAATGGAATGGAATAGAATAGTGGAAATTGTTGCTTTTTTTCCAATAGCATTTCACTTTACTAATTTGTGGACTGCATTGTGGATGAAAGATGTCCAGAAGAGGGAGCCTCGGTTTTCACAACAACAACTTTTCCCAAAGTCCATTGTGTCCCCAGTCTTTTTGTAACTCATGGATGTAAAGAGACTGTAACACCATGAGCTCTATGTATCTAGATAGCTAGTCACATATTTCTACAGTCAGTATGGGTACGACCCAAATGGCACCCTATGTCCTATATAGTGCACTACTTTGGTACCCTGGTTAAAAGTAGTGCACTATAAGTGGAATAGGGTGCCATTGGGAACGCAGTTTATATCTTCCCATGGAAATATGACAGAAACATGAAGGACTGCACTTGTATCTTCATGTGCTCCTATGCATGTCAGACATCAGAGAGAGACAGAGAGCACAGAGAGCGGCAATCTACGTCCCAAATGGCACCCTATTCCCTATATTGTGCACTACTTTTGACCAGGGCCCATAGGACCATGATTTGCGACACACCCTATTTCAGCCTGAGCTCCAGCATGTCCTTTCCAGATCAATACACTGCATAGACACCACACTTTCTCTGCATCATTTCACCACACTTCTGACTCTCTTGCTATAATCAAAACAAAACAAGCCACATTTTTCAAAATCCCATAAAAAGTTTAAACCCTCCCCGAGGCGACAGATTAGTGTACCTTCTGTGAGTTGTTAAGACCGTCCAAAATAAAGTTCCACTCATCCCCAAACTATTTTCAGTCCCACAATGACTAGTTAATTGAAAACCACACTGTTCTTCCTCCCAGAAGATTGTAACATAGATACAAAGAAACAACAAGATCAGCCTAACCTTTCTATTGCACCATGCATCTGTTGAACAGTGCAGTTTCAATAAACATGATTATAACTATAATGTCTTGGCTTTTAATGAACTAAAACAGTTCATTCCCAGCTTTGAAGTGTCCCTGTATACTGTAAGTCTCTTTATTTTAATTTGCATACAAATTCTGCAGAATTTTACTGTACCACAATCACTCAATTTCTGTAGTGGTTGTTACTATGGAGATGTACAGTAGTGTAGATGGGAATTCTCCAACTAGTAGGATGGAGTATTCTTCTATATATATATTCACTAAATGTGTTTGATCCCTATTAATGCTGTACATAGTTGTAATGTAGTACAAAAGTAATGAAGCAGCATTATCATAATACAGGAACTGAAGTTCCCTCTGGGAAAAATAAAGTTATTCTATTCTATTCTAATATGATTTTTTTTTTTTTTTTACGTCTGTCCATTTTTGGACTGCGAGGGAGAAAATTCTTAGAAAAGAGAAGTTCATTTGATAGCAAGAATTGCCATAGCATCCCTTCTGCTATTTGAACAACAATGCAGTACAACCTTTCACTCAAATTCATTGTAGATTTCCCCCTCTCCTCTGAGCCTCTGAACACAAGGGGCTTCTCCCAACAGAGACCTGTCGTAAATTTGTAATGAGGGACATAAATACAAGCACAACTACTTCACTTCAAGAGAATGGTAGGTGGACAGAAAAGTTGGAATGTAATTATAACTGACAATAAATAATATTGGTGAATATATAGTGCCTATCCTGAAGTATGAATATAGTGTCAACTGTAGCAATATAATAATAATTGAATAATATAATCTACTGTATAAACCTTTAGATACATGTTATTGGTAGAAAATAGCCATGGTTGGTCCCTGGACAGGACACTGTAAAACCTGCTAAGTTTTAACTCAAATTACTTGAGGAAACTAATTGCCATGACTCATTTGAGTAAAGCAACACATTTTTTGTAAGTTAGAAGTAGCCTACCCTTAGTTGACTTGGAACCGATCAATTTAATTGAACAGAAAATGGATTCCCCAGTGAACAATGGGAAACAATTAGGTTCCTTGTGTGTTAGAGTCCTGACTGCAGATCTGCTTGGCAAAACCCCACGGCACACCAGATGGAAGCAGTATTTTTTTTCTTGAGCTTGCAACATTTTGCTATTAATTCTCAGAGAGGAAATATGTCCACTGTAATATATCTGACCTGAGGAAAGCAATAAGTGAGTAATTGAAGCAGAACAGTGACTCAGTCGTAATGGCTCACAATGGTGGTTATCTGCAGTAGTATGAAGCAGACAGTGGGACCATTGCCATGTATCTACCCCCAGTCAAGTAGAGAGGTTCAGACCATATGAACTCAGGTTGTGACTTCACATTGTCAGAATGCACTTTACACTGATGGCCGTGGCTAAAGGTTCTATGGTTTTATTTCTTCATCCCACCGCTCTCTTAAAAGCCTAAGATGAGTAATCACATGGCTTTTATTTAGACCACATGGCTCTTAGGAAAATAAATCAATGGACATTCAAATTAGGGTTGAACAAGTATAAAGTAACTCTAGTTAGGAAGAAAAGTTACAATGTCATCATAATTATTAATAGTATTATTAAATGTCATTCATAAAAGTATAGTCCCATGTCAACTCATTCTCTGACTGAAAGTAGATCAATTAACTTTTTTTTGTATCATCATCCTCATCCTCAATCTCATCATCCTCATCATCATCATCATCATCATCATCATCATCATAAGAAAAGAGCACAAAAAGTATTTGCTGCTGTCCCAGACTTCCCCATTTAGACCTCTTATCTGGGAATCTCCATATCCCCTAACAAGACACTTGCCCTCTTCTGCCGCTATTCTTTACTCGGAGTGACGTCGAAGTGGGCTGGCAAAGTGCTAAGTGGTGTAGTTTAGAATGCTATCAGTAAGCTACAAGAAAAACATCAGAAGTCAAGTCAAGTCTTTAAATGACTTGTCCTGCAGTAGTTAGGTACATCCAGCACTTTGTCTGCCTTTTATCAGATCTCAAATCAGATACACACTTGAACCCAGGACCTGTCGTCCTCAAAGTGCGTCGCCGGGAACTCTGGAGTGGACGAGCCTTTGATAAAGCTGTCAGATTTTAGAGGGACATAAAACTTGTTATAGGCGCTCTATCTCTGCACTTATCTGTTGTCAAAAACGAGCCATACAATGGATTTCTCATTCTGCCTCCTAATATGTCTTCTGAGTGCTATCACTCTGTTCAATCAAAGGTGAGTTGAGAAGTTTCATTTACTTTAATATTTTACCTGAACATTTATTTGAATAGTAGCTGGATGCATTTTACTTTTACTGATGTAGTTATTCATCTTCAAGATTTACTCATAAATTAATAAAATAAATAATTGTGACAGTGTTTATATAAAGTTTGTATCACAAG